TCACATTACGATCTAATCAAGAGTATGGGTTCGACGCAAGACATATGCGAATTAATCTGATTAAATGTGTGGAAATGTCAAAACTACTTTAAGGTATATGCAGTCTATAATCCACCACAGAATTGTCCCAACTTTGACTTTCTGAACATCTCACACAAAACTGTAGTATTAGGAGACTTCAACGCCCATTCTACCACATGGGGCTACAAGGATACAAACATAGCTGGAAACGAAATCGAAGACATGCCAAACAGCAATGCTCTAGAAAATATTTATAGCAATGAGGAACCTGCTACATATTTGCACCACATTGGAACCAGAACAACTCCTGACTTTCTCCTGGCTTCAAGCGACATCAGTGAGCACACACACCGCAAAATAAGACGATCCTGGTTCTGGTCACAAACCAGTCATTGCTAGTGTGGTTCTGGTCACAAACCAGTCATTGCTAGTATTAACACCGGCAGCATAGGCATGGCAACGAAACTTCAAGTAGGCTGACTAGCCTAGATTCACAAACCTTTAAGAAAATGAACTTCACACAAGTCCCCTCAACTTCAACCAACATCCTGACAAACTTTGCACTGATATCACGAATATATATATATTTATTTCAAATGGCAGGCGTTTTGATAGCTATCATTAGCCCTTTAATTGACTTCGGGCTTCACAGAGGGAAGGTTCATCAAAGTAGCAGAAAGTCGAGGGGTGGGGAAAAGAAGAGCGATTCACAGATGTAAAAGAGGCAGACAGACACAAAGGTAGAGAAAAAGGTAAGGTGAGTACTGTGGAGGCGATCGCATATGACAAGCAGTCGTGCCATGATATTTTGAAGTCAGAAGTCAACCTCCGGTTAATAGACTTTTTTGCCGTATGAGTATACGTTGCCCAGGGTGCACCACGTGGAGGTAAGTCTATCGCACACCCCATATCACGAATATTGTGCTTCGATGTGCAAAGAAAACTATTTCACGAGGCAAGACTAAACACTATCAAGTGTTTTGGTCAGAACACCTTGAGAAACTGAAAAGAAAGCGGGACGTCCTTCGCAACACTGCTGATCAGACTGGAAGAACGGAAGACGTACAAGCCTGGAGACGGCAGTCAGCTGTCCTAAGACAAGCCCTCTTGCAAGCTAAACGAACTTCCTTCGACAAGTTCATCTCAAGTATCAACTATCAAAATGATAGCCAACGCACTTTCAAATTCCTGGGTAACCTCCAAAACAACAGAGAAAGACCCAAGAAATAACCAATACGGTTAGTCACCAAACTGTTTACCACCAACTCCGAAATAGCTAACAACTTTGCGAGGTTCTGTTCCCACAAAGCCAAAGAAAAACACTTTTGTCAAAAAATCTTCAAGAGATTTATAGGTACAAGTACAACAGTTGGGTGAAATTAAGGAAGACACAACAACACCACATAACGTACTTACTGAACCATTCAGACCTTGCGAACTTAATGCTGCGATAAAACAGCTCAAGTACAAGAAATCTCCTGGCGATGACGGTATTCATCCGGAATTTCTAATTAGAATGGGACCAGCAGCCAAGGAAACCATGCTGACGCTTTTCAACAAAATCTGGGAGGCCAGTCTCGTACCTAACAAATTGAAAATTGTCATAGTAATACCAGTACTAAAAAAGGGCAAAGACCCTAGCAACTTTGACAACTATAGGCCTATCTCCCTCACAAGCGATCTGGCTAAACTTATGGAAAGCATGGTTAACAGGAGGCTGACCTGGTTCCTTGAGACCAACAATATTCTTTGGAATGAACAAGCAGGTTTTAGGCCACAAACATCAACGAACCAACAAGTGGCCACTTTCTCCCAACATATCAAAGATGCCCTTGATGCAAAAAAACTCTTACGGCTATAATGCCCATGATGCAAGAAATACTCTTACGGCTGTATTCACCTCCCTTGATGCAAGAAATACTCTTACGGCTGTTTTCGTCGGTTTCAAATCAGCATATGACTTAGTATGGAAAGAGAAGCTAATTCGAAAATTGGTCTTCCAACACATCAAAGATGCCATTGATGCAAGAAATATGCTATTTTCGTCGATTTCAAATCAGCACATGACTTAGTATGGAAAGAGAAGCTAATTCTAAAATTGGCAAAGATTGGTATTAACCATAATATGCTAAACTGGATAAAAGCATTCATTGGATAAAGATCATGTAAAGTCAGATATGGAAATGCTCTATCAAAATAAAATATTTTACAAACAGGTTTTTCACAGGGACTGTCACAAGCTGAACTATTTTCAATGTCTTCTTCAATGACAAAACCGAATTAGCACAGACAGTCACGGGCATCAATTGGTTGCTTTATGCAGATGATCTTGTTCTATTGTATTCCGTCCCTAAGAAAAACGCTCAGGAGAAGACGGAAAGGGCCCTAAATGGTGCAATTAAACTACTAACAAATTGGTGCGACAACAATGGAATGGTTATCAACACCGCGAGAACTGCGTTCCAAACATCTTATTTGGGACATCACAGCATAAACCCGTTTCTAAGGTATAAGGATACTACCCCAGAAAAAAAACCAGTGAGTTCATTTATCTCGGAATGACGTTTGACACGAAGCTAACGTGGAAATTTTACATTGCTTAATAGCAGAACGAGTCTCCAATAGACTGAATGTACTGAAACGTCTTGCTAGTAGTGTATGAGGCTATGCACGCTCAACTCTAGGACCATTCTCTCAAACCACTCGAGAAGGCACACAGCCACAGAGGTGACTCCCAAACCCCTCGAGAAGGCACAGAAAGCCACAGAGGTGACTCTCAAACCCCTCGAGAAGGCACACAATGAGGTGACTCTCAAACCCCTCGAGAAGGCACACTACCAAGAATTACGACTAATTACTGGAGGGATTAAATCAACACCCATTGATGCAATGCTAGTTACAGGAAGCACCACAATAGGTTCCTGCCATGCTCCTAGTTACAGGAAGCACTACAATATGTTCCCTTATCAAAGAAAAGGTTACAGGAAGCACCACAATATGTTCCCTTATCAAAGAAAGGCCTTGATCCTGTGTGAGAAGCTACTGTGAATTCCCATGGATAAATTCTTCGGCACATACTGTACATTCCCATGGATAAGTTCTTCAGCACCCATGAGTAATCTGGTCTAATACAGAAAGCCATAGAACTGAAAAAAGCATCCACCTATAAGAATAGACCAAGACATCTGAAAACACAATCAAATAAGAAAGCCATAGAACTGAAGAAAGCATTACAAATCGATGATAAAGCCATAGAACTGAAGAAAGCGTTACAAATCGATGATAGACCAAAAAGCCTCAGCAGACATTGATGTAGTGTGTCGCACCCAACTGCTCGACGTCTAGACTCTCCCCATGAACCCATTAGCAGACCCAAAAAGCCTCTCTCTACCCATGAACCCATTAGCAGACACTTCTCTCCCCATGAACCCATTAGCAGACGTTGATGTAGTGTACTCCCCATGAACCCATTAGCAGACACTGATGTAGTTTGTTTCCCAACTGCTTGACTTCTTCAGGAAATCAAACACCCATCCAGAACAAATGCGCTCATTGGCCCTTGAGACAATCATTGTCAACAATCCTGCAGATCAATGGCTCCAAGTCCTTACTGATGGGTTATACATAGAAAACCAAGCAAACATTGGTGCAGGTGTCTACTCTGAACTCTTCTCTTTCTACGCAGCAGCGGGACATAATAGATCCGCTATTGAAGGAGAAATAGAGACCATTAGGATAGCACTATGTCAATTATGTTGCCTTAATATGAAATTCACCAAGGCGGTGAGACTTTCGGGCTCACAATCAGCAATAAACTCAATTGGAAACAGAGAGCCACCCAAAACAGCTGAGATAAAGGAATGTAGAGAATTCTATGAGCTGCTGAGAGAGAAAAACAAAACAGTGGTCCTACAATGGATTCCTGGTCACTGTGGCATTAAAGGCAATGAGCTTGCTTACACACTTGCTAAGAAGGGGACAACGATTTTGCTATGCATGGACCGGCCGATGTCTTTCCACACAATGAAGGCCTTAATCAGAAGAGAATTCAAGGCCTCAAGGTGCAACGAACTTAAAGCTCGAACAAAGGAGAAACAGTGGACAGTGGCACTCTCCGACATATCCGACTGGCCAAGAATCGAAGCCGTTGCTGAATTTAGACTACGCACCGGACACGATTGCTTGGCAAAACACCTTCACAGATTGGGAGTATACACTCAACCCACATGCCCTCTATGTAACCTACAGGAGGAAATGGAGAAGACCCACCTGATTCGATGTCCAGCCCTAAAGACAACGACGGAAAGCCAGAGATACTGGGAAGCAAGAAGACGGCTAATGAACTGGTATTATTTAACTGCTATATATATATACCCCCACCCATTGGGGAAGCTGAAGCAGAGTTTAAGAGCTTGCCATTTGAAAAAATCTCTTAACTTACTTAGTAGCCTTATGGAGTCTATTATGAGGGTTCTGCATTCTGCTACTTCTCAATACAGCTGTTGTTCATCGAATTCTTACCCATAACCTTTGACAATATGGATTTGGTTGTTGACGGCTATACCATCAATTAGCCATTTAACTGAAATTTTTTATGGCAGTTTTCATTTTTACCCAGTTTGACATCTCTTTGTCACATTTTGAATACTTGACACATTTGTAGTTGTAGTGGTATTAATTTCGAACGTATATGGCAGTCTACAAATAACGGTGATTAACATTCATATCTACCTTTCCAAGTGAAAATTATTCGCTTTTTGGTTGCCGGTTAAAAGAGCAGGGTAGAAGTATTCGTAACAGTGGAAATAAAATGATTTGTGGTGATAATAAGAATAATAATAAATTGAATGATAAACCTTTGATATTCTCCTAATGTATTATTTTCAAATTCTTCAATGCTACTAACAGAAATTCAGTGGTAAGTTCATTTCAACTGGTCTATTCGTCTTTTATTGAGGAATTGGATAGCGATATCTAAGTCTCACATGCAATTCTGTTTGTTTTAAATCTATTCCAAATATATTACTTGTTGCCCATTTCAGCCCATCTCACGAAAAAATAAATTTGTTGAAGCAGAGTTTCAAACACCAGTAATTCAATCAGGATAAATTTTTTTCTCGAATGATGAGGACATCTTCAGCCCAGGACAAATCCTTGAAAATTTTGTTGTGAATTTTATAAAATAAATTATAGGAATATGTTAATTCTCTAATGCAAGCCCTTACATATAAATCGATAAAGAACGTTAACATTTTTCACAAAGATACGGACATTCAATGCAATTTTCTTTTCAGAATTACTCAAAATATAATTTTTACCATCTATCTCCAGTAACTGCAAATTTTGGGGAGACAGCTTGAATGACCATCACTCGAGTGTATGAGTAAATTGAGCTTATGAAAATAATTTTTTATCTGTAATTCTCCTTTGTATAGCTGGTCACAATTTACATTGAGCTCTATTAACCAAATTAAAACAATATCTTTGCAACTTTATGAGGTAATTTCAGGAACCATCCCATTCGATTATCTCCAATTATGGTGTTGAGCGGACAGTGTCTCCCCAAACTTAGTTTTTTGCTAAAAGGTGAGTCTTTATGGAACATTATTGCAAATGAAGTTTTTAATCTAACATATTTCAAATCAGTTAGAACATGTGCTGGGAGACTAGTGCATAAAATTCATGATATCATAAGATTGCAATTCTGATAAAACAAGTTCACATAGAGAAATCAGCAGCTAGCAAATGTAATTAAAAGTTCCATGAGTTGAATGCAAGGAATTAATTATTGAATAAACTACAGCGAGAATCCAACTGAGTAAGCGAGAGGGAGGAAAGTGAAGGGCAAAGTAGTGTCGATGTTTAGGCATGTGAGTGGAAATAGAAATACAATCCATTTGAATCACTCGGGTAAGGACACGAGTTGGGATGTTGGTGCGGATGGTTTATTCAATGGAATGGCAGAGTTATGAAATAGAGGAGCAAGGACATGTTAAAGTTGAAAAAGTGATTATGGGTTAATTTGCCTAAACGCATTGGGAGTCAACTTCAATATCCTGAGAATAGCATTCGTCGCAGGTGTAGGGTGTTTTAGTATAAATTCACACCTCTTCTGTACTATTGTCTCATATGATAGCCAATCATTCATCATATAACCCGAAAAATTATGAAGCACTTTTGTTCGCATTTAAAATGCCTATTATGAGCAATACAACTTCATACCACTTGAACCGAGCATCTCCAGCCATTTTTTTATCTCAACGAGCTGGCACTGGTAATTTGATGTCAACTGTCATGTTAAACGAATCAGTGGTAAACTAGGAGCTATAGAGCACTCGAGTACGATAATTTTCAAAAATCTTGTGCTGAAAAGCACGCCTGTATCGATTTCCTTCGTTAGAGTTTGAAACAAAGTGTTGAGAGGCCATTTGAGGTGATTGATTAGAACTAATTCCCTCCCTGCCTCCAAAATACTAACTTAGGCATCATCTACAGATAGGTCAAAACCCTTCAAAAGTTATTGAAAGTACCACAGGAGTACAGGCCAGAAATCGTGTGTAAAACTACTTGAACGCATACTACTTATTGAATCTCCATTCCACGGTATAATTGCTTAGAATTAGCCTTCATCACAATGGAAGAATTCTAAAGTGAGAATTCAATTCGTTCCGGTGACACGAAGTGGGCATGTACTTAATGGACCAGAGACCACAGGGCCTCTGCAGATTTCACAAGTACCGTCCAGTTGGTCAATCCTTCACGCAACAATCGTTAGTTTTATCTTCAATGTTTTTCAAAAGAAATTAAAAGATCGATCAGCTGAGAATCGTTGTCGTCTTTTTCTTTTTTAGAATTTAAATAAGGCATCCATCTACGTTGCATTAAAAAAATAATTAAACTATACGTATTTATTCCCCCTATGGGAGTTAAAAGATAGCTTATTTCCTTGCTTGTATAGCTACTAATCTTAGAAATAATAAAATAAAATAATTTATTTTAATATAGCAGGATGAAACGAAAATCGGAGCATGAGCATAACAATTTGAATGATTTAATTGTTCGTTCATTTGAAACAACTGATTGACCAATTTGACGTAGTTAAAATACAGTCCGACTGACATTGTTAAGAAGACTGAGCAATTTGGAAATATTAATCTCAATTCGATCATGAATAATTACATGGGCCTATACAGTTGCGGGCGGCTGATCGTTAAAGGTGTACATTACTCCTGAAATTTCAAACGTGCTAATGCAGTATGTCTCGAGTTCTCAGGCTCTGTGCACTTTTACAAGTCGTGAAATTTATGAAGTAAAATTAAAATTAAATTAAAATTTATTATGCTTAAATGTGAATTAGAATATTTGACTTCTGCCATGCTTTCGAATTCAAATAAGTGAAGCCTGGATCCAATTGCCTATTTCCATTTGTTGTACACACCGTTTCCTTTCGCAATGGAGAACTTTCCTTTAGTTAACGTGGTATTATATTGCTGTATACGAGTTGTCGATAGACTTACCTCTACGTGGTGCACCCTGGGCAACGTGTACTCATACGGTAAAAAGTCCATAAACTGGCAGTTGACTTCTAACCCCTCGGAATGTCATATTCGACTACTTCCACAGTACTCACCCCGCCTTTTTTCTACCTTTTCTACCTTCTTCTTTGAAACACTCTTCTTTCCCCCCACCCTATCGACTTTTTTCACTTTGTTGTTCCTTCCCCTCTGTGAAGCCTGGAGTCAACTAAATGACTAATGATAACTATCAAAACGCCTGCCATTTGATATAAATATATTGCTGTATACGTTATTTCTGTAGTTGATCCTATTCATTACATTTTTTTTGTCATAGCACTGTTAAATTTACTGGCAACTAATGAACGTGATTTAAGTGCGCTTGATAAGCGAAAGCATTCATTCAGCTGATCTGTGTTTACACACTTCTGGACAAAGTCATGACACTATTATGACTTATGGAAGACATGCAATTCGGCTGAGTTAATATCAAGAGATGAGTTCATGATTGGCAGAAGCAAGAGTAAAAAGCACCAAATCAACGTTTTTGTTTAGTTATCAGTATGTTAAAACAATGAATGATAAAGATCAGGTTATAAAAACCAAACTCGTTATCAGAAAAACAGTAATAGAAAAATACGCGGATGACCACTCTGACGGGGAGAGGAGTCAACAGAAACAGAAACATCGACGAAGAAAAGAAGTCAAAAGACGCAAGAAGGCCAATGAAGCTAATAAAGGGGAAACAAAGACATCCACAGAAACCGTTTGTGACTTCAACAAAGTTTGTGAAAAGTGTGATATGATGTCTGTGGAAAACTCTTACCCAGATATAGCGAACACCGGGGAGAAATGCTTGGAGAATGAAAAATCGCCGTTGCAATCAGTGATTGGAAAGAATCAGGAAGAATCAGAAAATTCCATAAATGAGCACCAAAATCCTTCTCAAAACTCAGTTGAAGAAGGTGTACACAACGAAGGTCAAAAACCTGTGATAGAACCGGAGATAATGCCAATCAAGGTAGAATCAAATACGGGGGAATTAACTACGAATCAGAATGTGGATATTTCAACTGATCATCTTGAATGTGAAAAGCGTTGTAAAGCGCTTTCTAAAAACTCTCACCCAGGTATAGCGAACACAGAGGAGAAGTGTCTTGAAGATAGATCATCGTTGCATTCAATAAAAGATCAAAATCCATTGGTTGAAAACGATCATGAAGAGCCAGAAAATCCTCTTAGTGATCACCAAAATCCTTCTCAATGCCCAGTAGAAGAAGGCATGCACAATAAAGACCAAACTGCTGTGATGGAACCGGAGAAAATATCGATCATAGAAGAGCCAAATTCAGAGAAATTAACTGCGAATGAGATTTTGGATAATTCAACTGATCACCTGGGAAAAAACAACGAGAAAGATGAGTCGATCATGAAATGTGATTTTGATAAGAGTCGTATGACATTTGTTGAGAACTCTCACCCAGGTCAAGCGAACACTGATGAGACATGCACTGAGGATGAAAAATCGTCATTGCACACAATTACTGACCGAAATTCAGTAATTGGAAATAGTCAGGAAGAGTCAGAAACTCCCATAAGTGAGAACGGAAATTCTTCTCAATGTTCATTTGAGGAAGATGAAGGAAATGATGGACAATCAAATGTTGAGATGTTAAATGGTAAATTAAGCATATTAACCTTAATATTTATTTTAATTTACCACTGTTTCCTGTATATCACTGAAACTGTAGTATCGCAGATCTCAGAAAGATTGCCATTCTTAAACTAATGTTCGCAATTTCTCGTCAGTTATAGTGGTTCCGATTACTGAAGAAGACACTAAAGCTGATTCAGCATCGCCTGTGAATGCTGATTCCACTAAACTTCAGGAAAATCTGAAAGTATGTTCCATTCCTTCGAGGGAACCAGAGATGATATCGATTATGCTAAAATCAGATGAGTTGGAATTGAATTCGAGGAATATTGCGGACGCTTCAAGTGACCATTTGGAACAACCGGATACCACAGAATTCGATTTATTTGAAATCTTGGCTTCCAAAACGGTTACTTATTCCCTCTGGACATGGGACTTGCTCAAAGATGCATTCGAATCTATTTATTCAAAAGCAAAGGAAAATTTCTCAAATTACAGCAGCAATAAACGTTCAGCCACCCCAAGTGAAAGCAATCTCCAAGATACCGCTAATGACAAGGGAACAATGAAAGGATACAAAATGTCTCAACAACTTAAGGGGAACCCAGAACCAGTTTCTCCCAAGGCCTCCAACTTATGCGCAGACCAATCAGAATCGACCCCGCATCCTAATTCGGAAGTTGAGGCATGCCAAAAATTTTGCGACTCACAAGTAATTGAAAGGCGGATACTTTTAAAAATTGAAAAAAGTGGAAATTTGGAGATTATTGATGTTGATAATACTGAGGAGGCATTAACGCCATTACCGACAGCAGGAAAATCTGAAGAAAAAGACGAGTCGAAAATGATTACAGACAAACAAATTGATATGGACACACCCATGGAAAGAGAATCCAATACAGCCCTATCTGATGAATCAGAGGTTCAAGAACCGTCTGAGCCATCGGTCGAAGATTCTAACGAAAAAATCGAGGGTGACAAGTCCACATCATATCATGTAGGTAGCGTAACTAACTGCTTCAAATTTTTAATGGAGAATTTTTGCGCCGAATTAGCCACAGGACTGGAGAAAGAAAAGCTTTGCCATAGAAAAAAGACGGAAGAGGTGTCTGATCAAGGGGTTATTGAAGCCTCATCTGAAGTACACGAAGGGAGCTTAATTAACTGCTACACGTTTCTTGTTGAGGAATACCATCCAGATATTGCGAAAATCTTAAAGGAATATTGTGATGCACAGGAGTTAGTGCTAGAACAATCGGCCTTGTAGATTCCATTATTGCTAATTTTATTTCTATTTAATGATTCTTTCAGTTCTAATAATTATTAAAGGTATAAAAATCGACTTCATCTCAATAGCTTCAGTTATTTAAATGAGTGTAAAATCATAAACATTTAAGAAACGCATTCAAATAAACATTAAAGTAGTGGGCTAAAATAATTTTAATTTGAACTCATTCTTAGGAAAAAACATACAGTGAGAAAAAAATTTGATCATCAAGATTTAATTTCACGCAGTCTTTTGGCCACATATTCACAAAGTTCTGAAATAGCAAGAGATAAAATGCATGAGAGGAGAGTGTTTATTTTGCTAAACATTTCCTAATTTACAAGACCGAAATGACCAATCTTTTCAGTGGTCACCAAGTAGCAAAGGATTGCGGCAGAGAGTTTATCTCTGGTCGTCATTTAACGCCGACTGATCTGCTTACTGGTCTGATATCTCTCGGCATTGACCTCTTTTGAGTATTCGGTTTGAAACGCTCTTAGTGGCCTATAACGCTTTAATTTAAGCCGAAATTCGGACAAGAAGTCTTATTCACCAACTTTATAGTCATGCCATAAATTTAATAGCAAAATAATAATTAAGATCTATTTCATATTTCATCTGATTTCACCTTGGTTGTACTAGCCAAAACAAATAGGCATTAGCAGTTTTCTGCACCAGGGGTGCGCGATAGACTTAGAGAATGATCTTGTATCCTTTCCAGGGGATATGTGATAGATCTTCCTCCACGTGGTGCACCCTGGGCAACGCATAGTCAAAGGGCAAAAGTCTATTAACCGGGAGTTGACTTCTCACTTCAAACTACCATGACTCTACTGTATGTCATATTCCACTACTTCCACAGTACTCACCTCACCTTTTTTCTACCTTTGTGTCTGTTTCTTTTACATCTTTGAAACACTCTTCTCTTCCCTCCCCCCCCCCTCTCGACTTTTTTTCACTTTGATGTTCCTCCCCCCCCCTTTGTGAAGCCTAAAGTAAACTAAAGGGTTAACGACAACTATCATAACGCCTGCCATTTGATATAAATAAATAAGTTTTCTGCGGAATAGTCGAACGTGACCCTGTAGTAGGAATAACCAATTGACTTAATTAAGCGTTTATCAGGTGAAGTTGTAAACCGACGAGAAATATCCAGAAATCGGAAAATGGAATTATTAAGCCATTGAGTAGAGATCAAACGCAACAAAATAGAAAGCAAACTGCCTAATTCATAAAGAATTCATTTAAGTTATGAATATTCTGATCTCTTGAATATGTTCCCTCAAGTGCTTGCATAAACGTGAAATATATTAAGAGGAAGCAAAACACGCAAATGCTTTTCTTGGTAAACCAAGATTTATCAAGAGTCTAGGAGTTATAGGCGATGTGTTTGTGGTGCTATTTTAGTTCATTAATTCCCCAAATTCTGGTTCGTTTGAAGTCAGTGGAAGTCTACCCCTGAAAGACATGGATTTTGATATTGTGTGGATGACATCTTATGGTTACTTGGACGTAGACTAACCGTGTCTTTACTCCTGAACTGTCCTTAACTGTTTGGTGGGCGCATAGATAGCATTAAATCTTGAAATTTCGAAATAACATCAAGTCTCCGATTCATTAAAAATGCAATTCTACAGAAATATTGATATTATTAATTGAAATCCGCTACTTGTGCTTATAGTAATGGTTTTACGATGGTGGGAAATTAATAAGTTGTAAAAGCCAGGGCACAATTACCATTGGACTCCTGGAAGACTCTTCGAGCAATCTGAGGTTGTCTGTCGTATTTGAGCCTAGAGGAGGGCACAGTCTTCTTTCAGAAGCCAGTGGGGCCAACCGAAAGTTCAACTCCATTCTCAAAAGCGTCATAGTAGAGACTAAAAAGGTACTTAGAGTGCAACCATAGTTCAACCAGTCTTCATCAAGATTTCATTGGTCAGTTGGAGATTTAAAACCCTCTAGAGGCTCGGAAGGCATTTCTCCAGACAAATTCTCAGACGAACAAGTTAGTCATTTGGGGGTATGAACCGACATTTCTTTTAAGTAAGTGAAACCCTAGAGCCTTTCCAGAGTCTACAATTCATTTAACAAGTTTTAAATCTACTTTAAGTGCTCCATTCATATAAATACTTCTCTTGGTGCATTTATGTTTTTCAGACATCTATAAGTTGTCTAAAGTATTAGGTTGGCAACTAAGTCATTGCCGATTTCAAATAAGAAGGCAAATTCGGAATTTTTGTTTAAAATATAATTTTATTCAATTAGATATTGGCCGTTCTTGTCGATGACCTTTTTCCATCGTTCTGGCAGACTAAAAATTCCCCGTTCGTAAAATGTCTGGTCTTTGCTATTAAAAAACTGAATTAGGTGTGATCCGACATGATCCGCGTTGTTAAAAATTTTACCATTTAAAGAGTTTTGCATGGAACGAAACAAATGGTAATCCGAAGGCGCAAGGTCAGGGCTATATGGTGGGTGTGACAAAACATCCCAACCCAAGTTCCAATAATTTTTGCCGAGTAACCAAAGATGTGTGGGGTCTTGCGTTATCATGATGGAAAACAACAGCCTTCCGATTTGATAATGCCGGCCGCTTATCTTCAATTGCATCCTTCAGTTTTTCGAGTTCTTCAACATACACATTTGAATTTATCGTTTGGTTCTGCGGCATGAGTTCAAAATACAAAATTCCGTTGTGATCCCACCAGACTGACAGCATAATCTTTTTTTGGTGAATCTCTGCTTTTGATACTGTTTGGGCTGGTTGATCTTGCTTCACCGATGATCTCTTGCGAGTGGGGTGTGCGATAGAGTTACCTCCACGTGGTGCACCCTGGGCAACGTATACTCATACGGCAAAAAAGTCTATTAACNATCTCTTGCGAGTAACGTTGTTATAAACTATCCACTTTTCGTCGCCAGTAACTAGGTTCTTCAGAAATGGATCATTCTCATTGCGTTTAAGTAGCGAATCACAGATGCTAATCCGTTGCGTCGAATGAATTTCTTTTAACTGGTGAATCATAAATCCATAAATCAAGTTTCTTGACATAACCAAGGGTTTTTAATTTTTTTTTCAATGCATGTATGCGACGCATTGAGCTTCTCTGCAATATCTCGTGTTGTGCTGTGACGATTTGAATCGATAATGGCCTTGATATGGGTTTCATCCACTTCGACTGGGCGACCCGATCGTTGTGAAATTTTTAGTGAAAAATCACCGGAACGAAATCTTTCAAACCAATTTCGACACTGCCTTTCTTTGAAGGCTTCATCTCCATATACGGCACATAACTTCTTTTGTGCTTGCGATGCGTTCTTGCCTTTTCGGAAGTAATACAATAAAATGTGTCGGAAGTGAACGTCCTGTTCTTTCATTTTTAAATTGGGATAAAAACAAAACTAAAGAACTAAACAAAAAAAATTTGTTAAGAATTAACCTAGAAACCCATACAGTAAGAAAAAAATATAGGTTAGATGCTCTGGCCACGTTAACAAAACAAAAGAAAGTATAGAGTGAATCCGTCAAAAAAAACAGCAATGACTTAGTTGCCAACCCAATAGTTGTTACTGTTCCAAGGCGGAGACAGTGAATCAAGGGGCTCCTTTAAGTCAAAATAGGCATGCATCACTCCACAATGACGGTTGATACCTTCTTGAATTTATTTTATAGCAACAGAGAAGGTTTTGTTCTGTGTCAACCCCTCACATATGTTTATCTTGTGTATGTAATGATTGTTTAATTATAAGAGAACTAGGTATTACATAGATCATCGATGCGACGTATTTTCTATCCTTTAAAGAAGGGAACTACTTCAACTGCTAAGTTAGTCAGTTCATTCTTCCTTACTTTTACAAATACTGATTAGCTCAGCATTCACCTAGGAAAGGAGTGAAAGAATCCTGCCCTGCCAACTATCATTAAAAACTCCAATAGATAGTTGCTCTGTTTTGTAAGACTTAAGTTATATCAGCATTTTTTTCGCCGAAGAACTGGAAGCAAAGATAAAGTAATTTCGTTTTGAACCAATCTGTTCTCGAGAGGTCCTCGGGTTGTAGGTTTTGGGTCTTTCAGGGCTTATTACTTGTCAGTCATGGTAAAAAGTTGGCCAACTTTCCTTCTTAGCATATCCCTTCAGTAATCAATATAAGCAAATTAACTTCGTTTCAGCACCATTCATGGGAAGAATAAGATTCTGGAGAATGGTCAACTGCCATAGCTATTTCTCTCCAATAATTTATCTGAAGGTTTCCCTTCAATTAGTTCATATCAGAACTTCAATATTTTTCCCCACGGGGTGTGAGATAGACCTACCTCCACGTGTTGCACTCTGGGCAACGTATACTCATACGGCAAAAAGGTCTATTAACCGGCAGTTGACTTCAAACTACCATGACCCTACTGTATGTCATATTTCACCACTTTCACAGTACTCACCTCACCTTTTTTTCTATCTTTGTGCTTGTCTCTTTTGCACCTTTGAAACGCTCTTCAGTTCCCCCCCCCCCCTCGATTTTTTTCACTTTGATGTTCCTTCCCCTCTGTGGAGCCTACAGTCAACTAAAGGGCTAATGATAACTATCAAAACGCCTGCCATTTGATTTAAATATTTTTTTCGCACATGCCTCGTCTACATTTTTGGAACCGTATTTATCATATCCTTGTATTCCAGAATCGCCTCTTCAAGTGTCCCTTGGACTTCTAATCTATCGATTTGATATGTGAGATAAGTTCCTTTATTCTGACGCCAAGCCAATACTTTTGTCGGTATAGCTCCAAGCAAAAAATTTGGTTGCAACTAAACAGTTATCTGAGTGGATGTCTGGTTCTTAGGTGGTTTTCAGTGTCATAAATGACTACTTTTCGGTGAAACAGGATAGAATCTACGGACAATTCGTCAGCCCGTTCTTGGCTGATACCATGTGTATTGTCTTTTATTAAACTTTTTGGGAAAAGGATCGATGGAGCAACTATTATTTCTGTCACAATGAGGTCATCCTGCAATCCTTCGCCCACCCCCCTCCCCCATTGAGTTTGTAAAGCTCCCCACTACATTCATTCATTATATGAGAGTTTGTGAGCATTCTGTTCAAGTCGGTAATTAAATATATCATTATTATTGTATTTTTACAGTTATCTAACATTTCTCGCAATACAGCCTCAAGCTGTTTATTAAATTATCTCCAAAAAAGTTTTGAGAGCAATCTTTGGTCCATAAAAGTCCATAGTTCCCAGGGTCACTTTGTCAAAATTAACAATAATAGTAGTTAATTTGTTGGAAATAGGTTAAACTTCCTGAAAGTGAAGTCGGGAAACGTCGATAATAAATGCTTTCCAATTGATCAATATAACTTTGTTTTGCATCCAGAAAAAATATTTAATTAGATGATGTTTCATCAGTTCTATTTTTGTAAGCGCTTCTACATGGAATTCTCGCTTTCAACTGGTTTAATTTCATCTTCATCGGCTGCTTTCGTTTGTGTTTGCTCTTCTTCAGTCAACTTTGCAGGTTAGGGTTCGGAAAGTTTATCAACCGCTTTATCCGCAAGCTTTTCTGTCCTCCCATGTGTTATAATGGTAGTTGTCACATCAACCGGCTTTTCAGGCTAATTTGACTTTACTACTGTTTGCTCAACAGTAGGTTATTTGGCCAGATTTGGAAAATTTACAATTTCTTTTAGCTCTGACACTGTTTCGTCTGTTGTTTGTTCAATAGGTTCTTTTCAACTGGTTTTGTTGTAACTGTCACCTCCTCGATCGGGTGAAGAGGTGGACGGGTCGCTGCTTTATCAGCTACCGCATCACCTGCTTTCTAAAGAGATCTTTTCAACTCACGCCTATGGAACTTCAGCATCTATATGGGAGGGAAGTAATCAACCACACTTCTTTGCCTTCTATAATTCAATGCAAAGTTCCACAGACAGATTCAAAATACACCCTCTATTGGGAAAAATATCTGGCTTTATCCGTCTATCCCTTGCAGCTTTTGAATTTTCTTGTTTAGGCTTATTTAGGATTATTCGTTTAGGATTATTCGTGTGCATACTTTCTCCCATTTTTGGTTACTGTGCATTAGTAAAAATTTTCTAATGGGAATAGTCGTACCAAAAATCGATAATTTCGGTTAAAATTGATAGAAATTCAAAATCGAAATTTTAAGGAAATATATAACCTTTATTTTAGTCCAATTAGATTTAAATAATTCCATATAAAGTGTAAGAATTGTAAGAATGTGTTTGTCACCTGATCAGCCAATAAATGTGTAAGTCTAAGGCATGTAGGTCAATAATCGATTACCTAGTACATGAGGGATGAAGTTTATATACTTCTCCCAAATACATCGAAATTATTCAAATCGGCTGTATCTTTTAAAATAGCTATATTAAATTATTTGGCTGATTGGTTCATTAAAAAACTAGTTGTCTAACTAAATGTGCCGCTGAAATGAAAAAAATGATACAAAATGGCAATAACGTGATTTCAAGACTGAATAGATAAAAATGGTGAGCCGCCTAATTCCAAATTTTAACGGAACCACAATCTTAGCATCGAAAATGGAGTTCATGCGGGTAAACACTTGAACAATCAAAAAGCCAAAAATCGAAAATTACAAAATATGATCTTTTGAAAACACAAAACAAACCAAAACAGAGACAAAAATACTGTTCAATAAATTATTCAACTTTTGTACAATGACCTTCCATATGATCGCATTTCACGTCCTTTTTTTGTTTTTCCACCACCTCGTGTTTTAATCGGAAAAGTCCCACCTTTGTGACCCGTTTCAATAAGCATTTGCATAGCAGGTGGCTTTCTATAGGTCTTGGCATGGAATTTATCCCCTAGGCGTCTGCTATCTGAAATTGAAAAAATTGGCAAATTTAAACGGGGACTTAAACTAGCACTCTTGGTGTATCCGTTCAAATTTCATACTGAATTAATGATAATTTGACTTCTACACCCTCCATCACTGAAGCAATTATCGCTGCAGCGGTTAGCGAGCATGACAACCAATCACGTTTTCATGTACATCAACCAAGGTATTTGCTCAAAATAAACTGCTCACTGTTAAGAGCCCTTCTATTCACCCACTTCTTGATCTGAGCAACTGAAACCGTCATATCTCGTTGCATAGACCAGATAATTTAAATGGCCTTTTGTTACTGTCGATTGTGTATTGACCTTTCAACCTTAATGCGAGCTTTACACAAAATGAACCTGTAGTGGTATTATGCCTTAGATTATAATCAATTTTAACACATTATCTATTATCGAGATTCAGTTATTGCTTTTTAGCAATTTTCTACTTGCAGCGTAAGTCCCATTCCTCATGCATTAAGCAATTTATCGATTTCCATTCCTTATCTAGGAAACCCAGTGATCAATAATTCAGTTATGTAGTTTATGAACTTTGATCAGGAATGATGAAACCCCGGATTAGACTTTCTAATATATTTTCTAATCTAGCGATTTAAAACTATCACAGTTTGAGGAAAAAAACATTTCTAAAACGGAGCTTGTAAAAATCACGAAACTTGTAGATAATCAAAAAAAAGAACATTTTAAAAGAAGAAACGATGGATAAATTTTATATGAACTCGAAATGCAAGTAATGCTACTGCAAAGCACCGGTTTCACTAGATTAAATATTAAACAATAAGGAGTATTCACCCAATTATCCAAACGATTTGAGCAACTAATTTCAAAATTGGGAAATAATTGTCAACTTACCGAATGAAAACTCTTTGCCACAACATTCGCGGAGAATGCTTGCATCCATTCTGGTAGCTGAAAAGTAAGGAAGCTACTAAACGAATGCGCAGAACGAATAGTAAATAAGATCTAATGGAAGCAAGTTTACGGGGTTTGATCGGTATATCTTCCTTTTGGGCTTCTAGTGAATTACGATCGTTCAATACGAAGCAAACTGTAAATGTAAAATGAAATTAAAATTCTTCAAAAAATTAAACTTCCACGGACTTTGTCACCTTAAATTATTGAAATAGATCTTAGCAAATCACCTACTTTCGTGTTCGCAGTCGACGTGGTATTGCAGATCATCATCTGTATTGAAAGATTTTCCACATTCCCCGCATTCAAATTCAATAATGCCTGGAAGTATATAATAGGAATCTATTTGACAAGTTTGCTTAAAAATTCTTAACACATCTCAAGTACTTTTACATGAAATAATTGCAATTTTGGGGCCATCTCGGATTTAAGGTAAATATAACAAAATTATTTCCAGCAATAATCTTATTATACCTATGAAGTTGAAAAAAAATTAACTAGATAAAGTCCGGGTACCTACATGCCATTTTCTTTATTAAAAGCCGATTTTGTCCCAAATCCTTGACTGATCTGTTTCCTCTTCTAAGCCAATGAGAAAACTTCACCACTCTCTTTAACCAATGGGACTGTTTTGAAGGTCAAGTGAGTTGCTTCAAACTCAAGGTTAAGCTTGTAGCTCCCAAGCCCACTTAGAAAACCATTTCCCAGCTCTCGTCTTGAACATAGAGGCTCCTTGATGAGATATTCAATAAGATGCGGACAAACGCATAGTTGGTGCGAAAAGTCTGGAAATGTTAGCAATGGTAGAATTGAGCTATCAAAAAACTGCAGTTGAAATGACAAGAGATTAAAGTGAAATGTCGGCTATTGAAGAATCCAAGCAAAATTTTGATTAAAGTTAATGTGAAAAAAAAGTGGCGGCATTGGACGTCTTCTATCGAGGGATAATAATTCTTCATTTTATGATTTATCTATTTACATATTGATATTAGAAAACAGCATATGTTCAAAGATATGAGTTTGATAGAATGGATTATTCAACCTCTACCAAATTAATGGCCTCCTTGCGTGATTTGGGTAAATTGATTAGTTCATGTATCTAGAGTGAAGAGTTTAAGTAGTGAAGGAGGGGCGTACGATAGACCTAGCTCCAAGTAGTGCATAGTGGGCAAAGTATACTCATACGGCAAAAATAAGTCAATAAAGGGATAGTTGCCTTCAGACTTCAAACTACCATGACCCAATTGTATGTCATATTCGACCACTTTCACTGTACTCACCTTACCTTTTTCGCTTTACCTTTGTGTCTGTCTCTTTTGCATCTATGAAACACACTTCTGTTTCCCCCCCCCC